CTGCTGTTGTTGCCGCTGCTGCTGCTGCCGCTGTTATTTCTGCTGTGATACGGGTTCTGCTGTGATGTGCAGAACATTGCGGTAAGGAATGGTGTTGCTGAGAGGAGTGACTTCCCGTCCTTCCTGTCTTTCTCCATATCCACCATCTGCACGCACCCTGACCCTTAATGAAACCCAAGCTCCGTTTGTGTTTGGAAAGATCCCAAATTTGCTACTTTGCATTTTGAAATTCCTCCTCTCGTGTCCACTCCCTTTCCCCAGCTGAGACTTGGGCAGGGCTGTGGGCTGGTATTGTAGTTGTTGTTTTTGATTTTGTTGATGTTGATGTTGACTTTTATGCCTGCAAGCACTGTTGGTTCTCCAGTCCTTTTACAGCTTCTCTCAAACCTCTTTGTGTATTGCTTGTTTGTGTGCTTTTGATTCACCGTATGCTTTAATGGTTTTGTTTGCACTCTGCTTGAGTAATGAGTGTAGCTTTTCTGTTGTGTGAACTTTAAGCTTTTTTCTAAGTTGAATGTAGCTTGTGTGTGTTTCAGACCCTTTTTATACCACATGGGTTTGAGTAGTGGCAATCCAATAGTTTTTCTTATTTATTTTCTTGAAGCCACAAGACTCATGATTTGGATAAACTTCCCAAGAAATGGAAGTTTTGTATTGCAGATAAACTCTTTTTTTTTTTTGTATGCTATTAGAGGAGTGGGCAATGCTCTATCACCAAGTCATCTAGCATACTGTCAAATATTAGAGGACAGAACCTCTTAAGTGGATTTGTGTTCCAAGGTAGTACTCATGTATTATATACAATAGTTCAGTCTGTTGGGAATTTGCTTTTTGTTAGTTATTTGTCAGAATGGGTGAGGAGGCAAGAGTATTCGATTTGAGCAATGACCATGGTCTTGACAGTCTGTTTTGGTTAGATCTCAAGTAGCACTTTAAATATAATCTATTAATGAGCAGATGCTTGATGTTATGAGGCAGCAAATCGACCATTCTCAAGAGAGGAGAATAGTGAGGATGGGCAGTATTTGCCCTGTATATGGTTCAAGTGTGTTGGAGTGTGCATGGATGCTGCACCGGCTAGGTCCTTATTGGATTTATTTAAAGCTTGCAGTTCATTAGCAACGCCATAACCATAGAAGCACATTTTGATAAATGTACGGTATATTTTTTCTTCCATTTTATCATAAATTCAGTTTCTGAGAAGAAAGGTGCCTTGGATTTTTTTTTTTTTTTTCTTCTTTTTAAAGAGGACTCTTGAATTTTAAGCTACTGTTTAAATGTACAGATTAAATGTAGTTTTAAACAAAGAAAAAAATTAGGGGATACTAACATGAGTAAATATTCTTTATAAATACTTCAAAGACTGCATGTATATAATCTTTTCAATGTATAGTGACATTTTTTATACTACTAACATAATAGAGATAAATCACAGAAATGTGAAATATTTATATATTATTCTTTATAGCAACGAAGATAGTCAAATAGTTTAGCGAGTTTTAGAGACTAGAAAAAAAAGTCATAGCATTTATCTTTGTATAATAACCGAGATGCTGTACATACAATGCCTTACGACAGTGTGCGTAAAAAGAAAGAGAAAAAGGAAAAGTTACAGGATTGCCCCATAGCATAGCATTCACCGTTAGAAAATCACTGATCCAGTGTTAGTGTTCAGTGTGTATAGCATGTAGAATATGTAGTTGTAGTGTAGAGTTTGTTTTGGAAGGTAAGTTCCATTCCTGGTGTTATTTTTTTTCATTCGTTTATTTTGTTTTTCTAACCCCAAAAAATGCAATATGTGACTTGTAATGGAGTGTGACATTTGGAATGTTTTAGTTTTTTTGTCTAATCTTTTTGGTCTTCACTAGATACATGGAACTGTTTAAGACAAAAGTTCTGTGTTTGTGCATTTGAGCAGAGTTTAACACTAGAATGAATTAATGTTGTATTTGTGGAGTAGATAGATATGTGTATATATATACACTAAAGTAGATGTTACTTTTAAAGATTTTTAATGATAGTAGTAAAGATTGTCTGTAGTTGTTGGACTAGTTATATCTGCAAAGTGAAATTTTCAACTGATTTCAATTTAGAATCCATTTAAACATATCAAGGGCAGGTTACAAGTGGGTACCATAATAGCTGTATTCCAGACCACCTCCATGCCCTTTGTGGCATTCTTTCATAATCAGGTCAGATTGTTTAGTAATTGCCACTTTCCCTGACAGGATTCAGAACAAAGAGCCAGAAACCACTCATGATAATTTGCCTTTTGACTGTTATCAGACTTTTTATGGTTCTTAGTAGAGAGGAACTATAGGAAGGTTGATATAATGGCTGTTTCATGTGGTAATAATTGTTTGTTACAAAACCTATAATTGCTCGTTCACAATTGGCATAATGATGGGTGCTCCTAAGAAAATCTTTGTCTGTTTCCCCTTTAGCTTGTAACTATATTTTTATCAGTATATTGTATCTCATGCCTTTGGTGTTATTGCAGGGAGAATTGGAAGCTCAGCTGCTGCAAGCCAACCCTATTCTTGAAGCCTTCGGTAATGCCAAGACAGTCAAGAATGACAACTCTTCAAGATTTGTGAGTAGATGACTATTCATGCATATTATTTAACTGATTTGCGCCATGTTTTCCCCCCAAGATCTGCAGGAAAGTCTATCACTGTAATTGCTATAGCTAAGTATTCAACGTTCAACAAGTTCTATAATTGATAGGTAAAGCTAGTGCAGGTATTTAAGCACTGTAATTAAACTAATATATCCTCTCAAGTCAGGAAAAATTCAGTTTGATTGTTAACAATTGATATCATGGCAAGTAGACAGCCTTTCACATAAGCCTGATGAACTTTCAGGGTAAATTCATCCGTATCAACTTTGACAACTCGGGATACATCGCTGGTGCAAACATTGAGACGTACCTGCTGGAGAAGTCGAGAGCCATCCGCCAGACCAGCGATGAACGCACATTCCACATCTTCTACCAGCTGCTTTCTGGAGCCACTAGCCAGCAGAAGAGTAAGTAAATGATAAGATAGATTGAATCAAATTGAGTCAAATTGTTTCTTTAGATAATGTTTTTGAAATTTCCTTGGCAGGACATATGATTCATACTATATGAGGTACCAGTAGGTCAGGAGGGATTAAGGAAAATAATGATAAACTATGTATAAATGAATGAACAAATGGGAAAAAATACAATTGCGACATTTGTCATAATTAGACACTGGAGTGTGAATGTGGAGGGGGGGGGGAGAGGTTCTTGGGTACCTACACACTCACCACTTGTCAGAGCTAATGCTGTTGACCTGACATCTGGTTTGACTGATGTACTAGATTTGAAATGTGTGTGTGTGTGTGTGTGTGTGTGTGTGTGTGTGTGTGTGTGTGTGTGTGTGTGTGTGTGTGTGTGTGTGTGTGTGTGTGTGTGTGGTGTCCGTGTCTGTGTCTGTGTGTGTTTTTGTTTGTTTGTTTGTTTAGGGGGGTAGACAATGTGATTGATTGTGTGTATGTACATGTGATTGATTGTGTGTATGTACATGTGATTGATTGTGTGGACGTACATGTGATTGATTTTGTGTATGTACATGTGATTGATTTTGTGTACATACATGTAATTGATTGTGTGTACGTACATGTGATTGATTGTGTGTACATACATGTGATTGATTGTGTGTACATACATGTGATTGATTGTGTGTACATACATGTGATTGATTGTGTGTACGTACATGTGATTGATTGTGTGTACGTGAAGTGATTGATTGTGTGTACGTACACATGTGAACATACATGTGATTGATTGTGTGTACGTACATGTGATTGATTGTGTGTACGTGATTGATTGTGTACGTACATGTGATTGATTGTGTGTACGTACATGTGATTGATTGTGTACGTGATTGATTGTGTGTACCACATGTGATTGACGTGTCGTGTGTGTGTGATGTGATTGTGTGTACGTACATGTGATTGATTGTGTGTGACGTACATGTGATTGATTGTGTGTACGTACATGTGATTGATTGTGTGTACGTACATGTGATTGATTGTGTGTACGTATGTGATTGATTGTGTGTACGTACATGTGATTGACTGTGTGTACGTACATGTGATTGACTGTGTGTACGTACATGTGATTGACTGTGTGTACGTACATGTGATTGACTGTGTGTACGTACATGTGATTGACTGTGTGTACGTACATGTGATTGACTGTGTGTACTTGCATGAGATTGATTGTGTGTACATGCATGTGTGTGTTTTTGCATGGGTAGGGGGGAATGTTTGTGTATATGCATAGAGGGGGGTTTGTGTTTGTGAGTAGGGGTTCTGATAGTGCATGAGGCTGTGTGCAGGTGTGGTATATATGTAAATGTTTGTGTGTGTATGTGTAAAATTGTGTGTGTGTTTGTATGCACTTGTGTGTGCATGGACATTGTAAATGATGTTCAGCAGGTACAAATACTTTACACACCAGAACACTTAGCCTCTGGACTAGTTAAACAACTCTTCCAACTTTAATTGACCTGCTGTTTAACATGCAAATATTCTACTTGATTATACATTTGATGGCAGTTTAAATGTTTTTATGAGGTGAAACCAGCCATGTTGGCAAGATAAATGAAACTGTTGTTACATTTAGTTACCTTTTACATATCACACATTTGAGCATTGACCCTGACTTTTTGTTAATATGCAATCTCTTTGTTGAGCTAAATTCATGTCTCCTTTCTTCTTAATGTGCTTTTCTTTACTCTAGCTCTCTGACAATAATCTTACTTTACATTCTTTGGTGTTAGATTAAAAACATCATGGTAATTATCCTTTTTTCCCCCTGTTTTTTTCCTGTTTGTAAGAGAAAATAAGCATTTGGTTTGTGCATTATTTAATAATTTCATTTTAGAATTTTCATTTATTGATAAAGAGGGATGTAAATCACACACTTGAACATTACTTACTTTTTCTGCCTATTGCAGAGGACTTCATCCTGGAGGACCCCAAGCACTACAACTTCCTGACCTGCGGCAAGATGCAGTTGCCAGGCATCGATGAGGTAGCTGAGTTCCAGGCCACTGTCAAAGCCATGCAGATTATGGGCATGAACAATGATGATATCCAGTGTGAGTTTTTCTCATATTCTGTATTTGTTGGAAACTTTGAATAAATTTGTATTTGACGGAGTAAACATGAGTGATAAGTCGTAAATAGATATAAATTCTAATTTTGAATGGTTTGTAAATTCAAACTGATGAAAAACTAGTAGATAGTTTGTTGGAGAAACAGTTGTTAATATTAGTGTTCTGTGATAACAATGAACCTGCTCCTTCTGCTGATTTTTTCCGCTGTATTATAAAAATAATTTTAGTCAAGCAGATCTACTTATGCAAATTTGTTTCCAAGAACTGTAAAAGAAATCAGATGGAGAGATATTACCACCACTGCTTGCTGCGTGTGGCTTGGAGGTGTCATATGAATTTCAAATGAGGTGCGGGAGCGTCTGGCAAGGTGTTGGAGAAAATGTAAATGGAATGCGTTACGGGGTTGGTATGCTGATTTATGTATCCTCTTGATGTCTCTCCTGACCTGAGGTTTGCCTTGCAGCTGTGTTCCGCACTGTGTCTGCTGTGCTGATGTTCGGCAACATGCAATTCAAGCAAGAGCGCAACTCTGACCAGGCCACTCTTCCTGACAACACTGTGGCACAACAGGTGAGAGGCTGACAAAGGAATATGACCTTTGGAGCTCACATGTCTGGGCCACTTTGAATGCATATCCACTTTGGTTTATTGTGATTACTTGGAGTACACAATTTTTTATTTATTTATTTATTATTATTATTATTATTTATTATTATTATTATTATTATTATTATTATTATTATTATTATTTTTATTATTATTATGATTGTTAATGCATAGAATTGATAATTTCTTTAACAATTAACATTTATTACTTTTACATTCTAATGTAATTTTATTCCCTTCTAACAAGGTGGCTCATCTGCTGGGTCTGAATGTGACAGACTTGGTGCGTGGGTTCCTAAAGCCTCGCATCAAGGTGGGCCGCGAGACTGTCACCAAGGCCCAGAACAGGGAACAGGTGAGTTTGTTTCCATTTTTCCTTGATTTGAAAAAAATTCTTATAGCATATTCACAAATTTCAGGAAAGGGTCCCATCATTTTCTTGAAGCCTAACATTATACATTATAAGTTTGTTTCTCTTCTTCATACTCATTTTTACTTTGACTAATTGCACATATCTGTTCCAGTGTGAGTTTGCTGTGGAGGCCATTGCCAAGGCCCTGTATGAGCGCCTGTTCAAGTGGATCGTGATGCGCATCAACAGGTCACTTGATCGCACCAAACGCCAGGGAGCTTCCTTCATTGGCATCCTGGATATTGCAGGATTTGAGATCTTCGCCATGAACAGGTATGGTATAAGGTTCTTCCTCCTTGTGATAGTGGTTTTACCTCAATTTAGTTTAATATCTATAGAACAGAAGTGGATAAATCTGATTAAATTCCAGGCTTATTCCTTATACTCCTCTTCCTCTTCCAGCTTTGAGCAGCTTTGCATCAACTACACGAACGAGAAGCTGCAGCAGCTGTTCAACCACACGATGTTCATCTTGGAGCAGGAAGAGTACCAGAGGGAAGGCATTGAGTGGAAGTTCATTGACTTCGGTCTTGACTTGCAGCCCACTATTGACCTCATTGAGAAGGTGAGTGAATAATTTACTTTGCACACCTGACTGGAAAAACTTGCTGGCTTTATTTTTATTAACTGGTAAATCTAACAGTTTTAAAAGGTTCTCAGTATTTGTGCATGTGCTATTGTTACAGTAAAGGTCATTTCACTTTATGTGCAATGCATAGCAATTTATTTATTATTTGTAAGAGTTAATCCTTTTTGATACTTCATTCATATTTTTGTTTATCACTTTACTTTACCTTCTGTATTGTATTGTGATATTCACATAGATTTTGCATCTCATTAGTAATTTCACTGATATTACTATGACAGTGTATCTTGTTTGGATTTTGTGATAATCCTTTAGTCAGCTCTGGATGCCCTCTCACCAATTTCACTAATGCTACAAGGATGATGTATCATGTCCAGACTTGCCATTATTGATAATTCTACTTTACTTGTATTGATAATTTTTTCCTCAGCCCATGGGTATCCTTGCCCTGCTGGATGAAGAGTGCTGGTTCCCCAAGGCCACAGACAAGAGTTTCATCGACAAGCTCAACAACTCACACTCAGTTCACCCCAAATTCTGCAAGTCTGAGTTCCGTGACAAGGCTGACTTCGCCATTGTGCATTATGCAGGGAAGGTAGACTACTCTGGCCATCAGTGGCTCATGAAGAACATGGACCCTCTGAATGAGAATATCGTCTCACTCCTGCAGTGCTCTCAGGACCCCTTCATGGTGCAGATCTGGAAGGACGGTAAGGATTTCATGAGTTTTGAGTTTCAGGTTTCTGGAATTGTATCTTGAGAAAGCATAGGTAGAAATTGATATACTTTTCCAGGTATGTTATGCAGTATTTATTTATTTATTTATTTTATTTTTTTTATAAATCTTGTTTTTTGTTAAGAACTATGAAATTCATGTAAAATTAAATACACTTTCCATTACAGCTGAAATTGTGGGCATGGCACAGCAGGCAATGGGAGACAGTCAGTTTGGTGCTCGTACCAGGAAGGGTATGTTCCGCACAGTCAGCCAGCTCTACAAGGAACAACTGACCAAGCTCATGGTCACCCTGCGCAACACCAATCCCAACTTCGTGCGTTGCATCATCCCCAACCATGACAAGCGTGCAGGCAAAATTGATGCTGGTCTTGTGCTTGATCAACTCAGGTTAGCATGACATTCTCTTTTTTTTGATAGTATCATAATTAAAGTGTGAGGTTTTTAGATGTTTAGATATTATGTATATAAAATCTGATCGATTCTCTTACATATACTCCAGGACTAACTTGTGACTCTCCCACAGGTGCAATGGTGTGTTGGAAGGTATCAGAATCTGTCGCCAGGGCTTCCCCAACCGTATTCCCTTCCAGGAGTTCCGTCAGCGTTATGAGCTGCTCACTCCGAACATCATCCCCAAGGGCTTCATGGATGGCAAGAAGGCCTGCGAGATGATGATCCAGGCTCTGGAGCTTGAGCCAAATCTCTATCGTATTGGTCAGAGCAAGATCTTCCTGAGAGCTGGTGTGCTGGCTTCCCTGGAAGAGGAGAGGGATATCAAGATGACAGACCTGATTGTGCAGTTCCAGGCTTACTGCAGAGGTATGTTGGCTCGCAAGAACTACCAGAAGAGACTCCAGCAGCTCAATGCCATCAGGATCATCCAGCGCAACTGTGCAGCGTACCTCAAGCTGCGCAACTGGCAGTGGTGGAGGCTGTACACTAAGGTGAAGCCTCTCCTCCAGGTGACCAAACAAGAAGAAAAGCTGGTACAGAAGGAAGAAGAGCTCCGCACCATCCAGTCTGTGCTGGAGGGCCAGAAGAAGACCAACAAGGAGATCGAGATGAAGTTCCAGCAAGCCATGCAGGAGAAGAATGTCCTGGCTGAACAACTTCAGGCAGAAACTGAGCTGTGTGCAGAAGCAGAGGAAATGAGAGCAAGACTGTTGGCCCGCAAGCAGGAACTGGAAGACATCCTCCATGACATGGAAACTCGCCTTGAAGAGGAGGAAGAGCGAACAGGAAACCTCACTTCAGAAAAGAAGAAGCTCCAGCTGCAGATCCAGGACTTGGAAGAACAACTTGAGGAGGAAGAAGCTGCACGCCAAAAGCTCCAACTGGAGAAGGTGCAAGCGGACGGCAAGATCAAAAAGCTGGAGGAGGATTATGCTCTCTTGGAAGACATGAACCAGAAGATGACTAAGGAAAAGAAGATGCTGGAGGAGAGGTCAATGGATGTTACCAGCACACTAGCAGAAGAAGAGGAGAAGTCCAAACACCTGATGAAACTCAAGGCCAAACATGAGTCCATGCTTACAGAGCTCGAAGACAGAATCAAGAAGGAACAGCAAAGCAGGTCAGAACTGGAACGTGCTAAGAGACGCTGTGAGACAGACCTGAATGACCTCAAGGAACAGCTCAATGAGAAGAAGAATCAGATTCACGAAGTACAAATCCACCTTGCCAAACGCGAAGAGGAGCTTGCCCAAGCAATGATGCGTGTAGATGAGGAAGCTGCTGCCAAATCACAGCTACAAAAAAGCATGAGGGAGGTAGAATCCCAATTGAATGAGCTTCAGGAGGACCTTGAGGCTGAGAGGAACCTCAGGGCCAAGGCAGAGAAGCAGAAGAGGGACCTGAATGAGGAGCTGGAGGCCCTGAAGAATGAACTTCTGGACTCCTTGGACACCACTGCAGCACAACAAGAGCTGCGCACCAAGAGGGAGGAGGAGCTTGCCAGTCTCAAGAAGAGCCTCGAGGATGACCAGACCATTCATGAGCAGCAGATTGCAGAGCTGCGCCAGAAACAGAGTCATGCCCTTGAAAATCTGAACCAGGAGATTGACCAGCTCAAGAAGAGCAAGATGACAGTTGACAAGGTCAAGAGTCAACTGGAGGCTGAAAATGCTGATTTGGCCAATGACCTCAAGAGCACCATACTGAGTAAACAAGAAAGTGAAAAGAAGAGAAAGCAGTGTGAATCCATGATCTCTGACTTACAGCAGAAGATTGCAGAGTCTGACAGAACCAAATCTGACATGCAGGAACGTCTTGGCAAATTGGAACAGGAACTGAATGCTGCCAACATGGCCATGGAAGAAGCAGACTCCAAAGCCATGTCAGCCAACAATCAACTCAAGAGCCTGGAGGCCCACTTGCAGGAGACTCAGGGCTTGCTGGAGGAGGAGACACGCCAAAAGCTAAACCTCAACTCCCGCTTGAGAGCCTTGGAGCAGGAGAAGGACCAGCTGCAGGAAGCCCTGGAGGAGGAGGAGGGATCCAAGCGCAATCTGGAAAAGCAGGTCGCCACCCTCCAGGTCCAACTCAGCGAGGCTAAGAAGAAGGCTGAGGAGGAGTCTAACAATTCCCAACAGCTGGAGGACACCCGCAAGAGGCAGATGAAGGAGCTGGAGGAACTGCGTGCTCGCCTGGCTGAACTGGAAGCCACCAATGAGAAACTAGAGAAGAGCAAGAGGAAGTTGCAAGCCGAGCTGGAAGATGCCCAGGTGGACATCGATACCAACAGGGCTAAGGTCGTGGAGCTGGAGAAGAAGCAGCGCAACTTCGACAAGATGCTCAATGAAGAGAAGAGCAACTTTGAACTGTGCCAGCAGGAGAAGGAGAATGCCGAACGTGAGGCCAGGGAGAAGGAGACCAAGATTCTTTCTCTTAATAGGTGGGTTGTTTTCTTTACCAGAGTGACATTGATACAGATAGAATACAAATCTAGACAATTTACAGAAAGTGTAATTTATATGAGAGTAATTTTATGAAAATTTTTTCCAATATAGGACACTAGAAGAATACATGGACCGCATTGAGGAACTGGAGACAGGCAAGAAGCGACTACAGATTGAGCTGGATGACCTTATCTCAACCCGAGGAACAGCTGACAAGAATGTCCATGAACTGGAGAAGGCAAAGCGTGCTCTGGAGTCCCAGTTGGCTGAACAGAAGACCCAGGTAAGATTTTTCCCTTGGTTCCCTTGCTTCTATTCTTATTAGGTTAGGAATGATACTTCCTGCAATTGTTGTTGTTTCTTTTTTTCCCCTTGCTAAATAGAATAATAAAATGTATATGACATCCTAGATCTATTTGTATTATTGAATTTTTTCAATGCTTACCATTTGCAGATTGAAGAACTTGAGGACGAACTCCAGTTGACTGAAGATGCCAAGCTTCGCCTTGAAGTCAACATGCAGGCAATGAAGGCACAGTTTGAACGTGATCTCAATGCACGTGAAGAGCAGGGAGAAGAGAAGCGCCGTGGCCTGCTCAAACAGCTGCGAGAACTAGAGGCTGAGCTTGAGGAGGAACGCAAACAGCGTACTGCAGCCGTCACTGCACGTAAGAAGCTTGAGGGAGACCTCAAGGACATGGAAGGACAGTTGGAGATGAATGGCAAGGTGAAGGACGATGCCCTCAAACAGCTCAAGCGTGCTGGAGCACAACTGAAGGAATACCAGAGAGAGGCAGAAGAGAGCCGAGCATCGCGTGAGGAAATGTCAGCACAGTACAAGGACCTGGAAAGGAAGATCAAGATTATGGAAACTGAGCTCCTGCAGTATCAGGAAGACCTCAGTGCGGCAGAGAGAGCACGCAAGGTAAGAAGCACATTCGTGAGCATTTGTGTCATGTAATAGTAATTGTAAATAACTTTTCTTGAGATCACCTAATAACTTTTCGTCCCAGTCATCTCCATATTTCTTCTCTTTCTTCTGCAGAATGCAGAGAGTGAACGAGATGAACTCCAGGAAGAGCTCAACCAGTACACATCCAAGGCCACCCTCAGTGCGGATGAGAAGAAGAGGTTAGAGGCAAGAATTTCATCACTGGAGGAAGAATTAGAGGAAGAACAAAGCAATGTCGAGGTGAGGAGTACAAAAGAATAAACAAAATTATTACAGTTACAACTGTTTTTGTTAAAAATTTGGATTATTCTCTGTGGTATATCAGTTATGGATGATAATTATTGAAAGTGGTGAAGAGATTGTTTCTTACACTATTCTTGTCTCCCAGGTTCTCATGGACAAGATGCGCAAGAACCAGCTCGCTATGGAACAGCTACAGACAGACTACAACACAGAGAAGTCATCTGTAGTGAAATTGGAAGGACAGCGGTCAATGTTGGAACGACAGAACAAGGAGCTCAAGGCCAAGCTTGCCGAGATGGAGGCTGAAGTGCGATCCAAGACCAAGGCCACCATTGCAGCCCTTGAATCAAAGGTCAGTAGCTTTGCATTGTTTTTTATAAGGTATTGGGTGAATCAAACTGTGTAGCATTCCTCAAATATTTCTTGATGTGGTTACCTGCATTTTTCAAAAATGTAATAACATTTGAGTCCTCATATCAAAAGTTCCAGAACATATTTGGAGCCTTGATTGAATAACTAAATATCTTAAAATTAGGTCAGCAACCTGGAGGAGCAGCTGGAGGTTGAGGCACGAGACCGTCTGGCACAGGCAAAGGCCAACCGCAAATTGGAGAAGAAGCTGAAGGAGCTTGTCATGCAGGTGGAGGATGAACGAAGACATGCAGACCAGTACAAGGAGCAACTGGATAAGGTTAGTAGTTTTTTTTTAGAATTTCAAGGTGAGATTAGATTTGGTACTGTCTGTTTTGGGAAATGGACGAGTTAACTACGTCATAGTTTATTTTAAAGATTAATCTAGTTTGGTGTGGATTGGAATTATCACAGGGTGGAAGACATGATCACAAATAATTGAGTGGCAAAGAATTTATATTATCCTTTCTCTACAGTCAAATGCCCGAGTCAAGCAATTGAAGCGCAGTGTAGAGGAGACAGAAGACGAGCTTTCCAAAGAAAAGATGCAGCGTCGCAAGGCCCAGCGTGAAGTTGAAGACATGATGGAGTCCCAGGAGGCTCAGAACAGAGAGATCTCCTCCCTGAAGACGAAACTCAGGTACAGACCCTCTAGTTGACTGTTCTTGTTTTATATAGGAGTTTGTGTTCAGGTTTTTAAGGCCATATTCTGTGGGTTGGTACTGTAGGGAAGTACTGTATTTTTGGATTTTTTTGATGTTTGTGTTTTGTTTTTTTGTTTTTTCAAATGGATGGGAAAAAATAATGCCTGGAAAATGAAAAAGAAAGGAACAGGCATACAGATATGGGAATGAAAGAACACTATTTTTTTCTCTTCTTTTCCAAGCCAAAGGTGTATTTTGACAGGTGTATTTTGAAGTTCATTCTTCCTGGTGCTGTATGAGGCAACTGAGTTTAAGGTTGCTGAGACTGAACTTGAATACAGCTTCCCTTTATTCATTACTTCAGTGCCAGGTAGATATTGGGTTAAAGAGATTGAAAAGTAAGGCAAAGATTTAGTTTAATAAGCAATTAAAAGCCATTGCAAGTATAACAAGAAAAATAATGTTAAATACGTGCTCAATGGGTTTTGTAGATTGATGAATAGGCAGAGAAATCAGTTAATGGATGTAACAAGCTAAATTGTATTAAGTGCTTACTGTAAGACTGTAAAGACCTAGTTAGGACTGGTAAATTAGCTGTATAATGTAGGCATAGCTAGTTAGAGCTCATAGATTGTGCTAGAAATGAAACCAGAATATAAAGAAACAGTGAAATAAACTTTCATGGAACTTTGAAAAGTATCATATCCTAGGAGCAGACAAGAAAAAAAAAATCTTAATATAGTTACTTGTCAAAATACACCTTAACTAGATTTTATATAGATAATTCATTATATGATGCCTCTTCCACTGAGGCAGGGAAGCTGTGTATTATATATATATATATATATATATATATATATATATATATATATATATATATATATATATATTATATATATATATATATATATAATATATATATATATATATATATATATATATGTATATATATATATATATATATATATATATATATATATATATATATATATATATATATATATATATATATATATATATATATATATATATATATGATTCAGTGTAAGGTAATACACTGAGACACAAGAGTGGAATGCAGAAAAACAAAGTGTCTTTGATACACCTTTTTGAAAAACTGACATTTTTCAGATTTTTTTTTTTTAGTTTTTTAGTTTTTTTCAGATTTTTTGTTTTGACAAGTTCTGAGCTTGTATTGGGGAAATTTAGGTGAAAGAGATATTTTATTAGTTTTCTGTCTTTAAATAGAGGGGATATTAGGGTGGGAATGTTTTCTTTCATTCACTATTTCAAATAGTTTCCATGATTTATACTATTATAGAATGGTAATTATTTTTCTTTGTTCTTATTATCACTTACAATTTCCTTTTCTTTGTCACCATTTTGTTTGTTTATTTTTGTCACCACCATTGTCTTCGCAATACATACTAGTCATCATCATCACTATCAGTATTATTGATAACAATTGTTTATTACTGATCTGGTCATTATAAATTTCATGGCATTGATATTACTTTAGTGGCATTGATTACCATTATTAATGATATTGTTATTAGTGATGATGCTCTTTATTCATATGTCACCCTGCGTAGCCAGGCTGGAAAGTGTCAGTTGTGTACTTGAGTTCTTATTCTTGCATTACTAGTGCACCCAGTCTGGTTGAGATTTGTTATCAGGTTTACTTGATAATTGTGGATACATTAGAGAATTTTGTAATATTTGATTAGAGAGGTTTTAGGTACTTAATATATCCTACTTTTATTGAGGCAGTATCCAGGGTTTAGTCTTTTACTAAGTGTCATACTTGGTTTATGAATCGAGCAGCTTAGTGTGCTCCAGAGGTGAGCCTAGGAAAAATTAAATGCTTTTTTGCACTTCATATGAGAGAGGTTCTTGAAACCCAAGACTTTAGTGAAAAGTTTTGCACTTTCCAGTCTGGTTGTGTCGGAATTTTCACACATTCGCCGAATCAATCAAGTCCATTTTCGCAATGATCTCGTCTCCCTCTTTCAGTCTTCTGTTGGCTGCTTCTCCGTCTGAGGCTAAATCTGTAGTTGACAGTCCTTCATCTGCTATAAAGTTTCAGTTGACTGTGTAGACATAAAGTACATCCACAGACATTTTCACATTATTTTTAAAAACCTTTTCTCCCAGACTTTGAATCCTGGTACACTTTGTACTGCTTGAGCCAAGAGGCTGTATATATAAGGCCAATGAGTGTGTTCGGAGTATTTAAATGGCTTGTATAGTGTGTGGCAATAGAGTCTTAGATTATCAAACTTGTGGAGTAATAATGTTAAGAAAAAAATGGAGAGAAGGAATAGGATTTTCTTCTTTAATGATCATAATAGATATAAAATCAAAGGCTTTTCATAGTACGTTTTTAGGACATTAAGATACCTATATTTTGGTAATTAATAATTCCTTTATTAAGTGTAGGCTTGTATTTTAACTTTCTTTTGGATCAGATAAAGTTTAGAGTTAGTGTCACATGTAATCCCAGAGATTTTGATAATGTAAAGTTACTTAAAACTGCATCTTGTCGTATGACTAAATCTTCTCTGTAATTTATTAAAAGATACTTCATAGTTTTCACTTATAATTTTTTGAGACCCTGTACCAGTGAAAAATATGAAATACAAGAAAGTGCTCAGTATTTTTTGTTTATTTATTTATTTATTTATTTATTTATCCATTTTTAAGCTGAGCTTCAGTTTTAACTGCAAAGTCAATGGTTGGCTTTTCAGAGTAACTGAGCCAGTGAGTGGCTTCATAGCTTTAGCAAATTGCAAATATTTATATATATAAAATCACATTTGACAAATAACTGATAAATCTACTACTGGATTCAGTCATTATTTTTTTTGAAAAGAATGATAGTGAAAAAGTAAGATATTACCCTTTTTTTGTTTTATGTTTCCTAATACCTCTAGTAGTTTTGTCAGTTATTTGCTAAACCTTGAATTTGTTAGTATCTCCAAAATTTAGTACTCTGTTTGTAGAAGAACTATCCCACAAAAAAACTATAATGATGTTGAAGAGTGTGTGTCCAATTTTGTGTTGTGTTACAGCAGTAGTAAAGGTGGTAGTCACAGCCACGTACTGAGTAGCCGTCGCATTGTCACCACAACCACACACGCTCAGGACAGTGAGGAGGACTAGTGGGCTTCCGTGGGTACCTCCTTCCCTCGTTATCTGCCGTGTCTCTATTTCCCTCCTCTCTTCCTACCCCTTTCGACGACTCAAATAGTTCCTTGTGTTCCCTGTGTCTCCCCGAATCCTGTGATCCTTTCTTCTCTTTCCTTCTTTCTCATACTTTATCCTCTTGCATTTCTTTCCTCTTCCATGTCTTGGTCTTCTGTATTTTTACATACTGATCTTCCAATTCTTTCTTTTTTGTACCTTCTTTCTCATCGTGTTCCTCCACTGCCTTTCCTTCATCTTCCTGTTCATTTATCTTTTCCTTCTCTTTATTTTTCCTCTCCTGTCTCCTTCTCCCCTTCTTCCTCCCCCTCCCCCAACTACAACTACAGTTACTCTTATTATTTCACCTTTTTTCTCTTCCTTATCTTCTCTCCTCCTCCTCCTCCCTCCCTCTCCCTCTCCTCCTCTCCCTCTCCCTCTCCTCCTCTGTCCCTGCTCCCTCCTCTCTCCTCTCCTCTCCTCCTCCTTCCTCCTCTCCTCCTCTCCCCCCTGCTCCCTCCTCCTTCCTCCTCTCCCCCCTGCCCTCCTCCTTCCTCTCCTCCTCCCTCCTTCCTCCCTCTCTGCTCCCCCTTCCTCCTCCTCTCCCCCCTCCCTCCTTCCTCCTCCTCTCCCCCTGCTCCCTCCTCCTCCCTCCTCCCCCTCTCCCTGCTCCCTCCTCCCTCCTCCCTCCTTTCCCCCCTGCTCTCTGCTCCCTCCTCCCTCTCCCTCCCTCCCTCCTCTCTCCCCTCCTCTCCCTTCCTCCCTCCTCCCTCCTCCTCCCCTCCTCCCTCCTCCCTCCTCCTTCCTCCTCTCCCCTCCTCCCTCCTCTCCTCCTCTCCATCCTCCTCCTCCTCTCCCTCCTCCCTCCTCTTCCTCCTCCTCCTCTCCCCATCCTCCATCCTCCTCCCTCCCCATCCCTCTCCTCCTCCTCTCCCACCCTCAATCCTTCTCCTCCTCCCCATCCTCCATCCTCCTCCTCCCAATCCTCCATCCTCTCCCCCTCTTCCTTCCTCCTTCCTCCTTCCTCCCTCCTTCCTCTGTCCTCCTCCCTCCCTCCTCTGTCCTCCCTCCCTCCCTCCCTCCCTCCTCTCCCCCCTCTCCCCCTGCTCCCTCCCCCTAGACCTGTAGCTGAGTCAATTCCAAGTACCTGTTGTTTATTCCTTTTTTGATTTCTAGTTTTATTTACCTGCTACAAGAGCTTCCCCGCGCCTTTTATGCATAGCTTGTCTTCTATGTCTTAGTTTTCTTCCTCTTCTGTGTAAATTCTTTTTTATTTTCACACCCTGTTTTATGTTCATGTTGACTTTTTTTTTCTTTTTTTTTTTTTTTCTTTTTTCTTTCCACCCCTAGGGTTTTGAGAATATTTGTCTACACACGAAATGAGTTTCCACACGATAGGATTGTTTATATGCGGACAACATGTGATGACGACATTGGGGAACCTAAAGGGTGGGGGTTAGGTAGGAAGGAATGGGTAAAACCTGGATAGATGGAAGATACGAAGAAAGAGAAACGTGAAATAAGAAACCCTTACACTTTTTCTTCCCTCTTGTGCAATTTTTCAACCTTACCAGTAAAACATTCAATACATTTTTTTACTTTTTTACTCATTTCATATATTTTTTTTTTCCTTTTTGTATTAATTTCTTTTTTGAAGTACTTTTCCCACCTTCTAATGTCACTCTCTCTACCGGTGGCTACTGCAGCCAAGCCGAAGCTGAAAAGATCTTAAATCAAATCACAAAGAGAACAAATCGAGGTCTGTGCAAGCTCATGAAGAACGCATCCACATCAAACGTGATTGATCTCACACAAGATTTCAGTAGCAGTGAAGATGAGAAGTTTGTGTTCCCTTGTGGTTATTTGCCCGCGTAGTGAAGGCGTTGTGTTTAATTTTTTTTTCATTATTATTTACTGTGTGTGCGGTGGATACAGTCAAAATATAGGAATGTTGTTGGTTGCATCTCAAACAAAAATTATGGTAATTCATTAACACAAGCGCAAAATATGACTGCATCGAGACGTGTGATTAGAGTTTGAGATCTTTCCCTTGTCTGAAGTATTGATCTCTTGACAACCAGACTAACTGTTTTCCTGTGAAGATTTAAGGGTGTGAACCAACTAATCAGATATTTTGATAACAGATAGATGTATTAGGTTCTAACAGTTATTATTTACATTTTTTGTTTTGTCTTGCTACTACATTTACTGCATGAGTGCATCTGATATAATGCTGCAGCTGTTAGCAGAGCATTATATATATTTTCCTCCCAAAATTAATACTTTGCTAGTGACAGTAATGTTTGGATAGCTGGTGAAGACCATTTCTGAGCATTTTTCGTTCCTTGCAGATACTCCTCTCGGAAAGGTCACGTGTTAGTAACGTCCCTACCAGTCTTTGCATGAAATTAACCTGTTGTGATGACACTATGTGCAGTCCACAGTTTCAGAAACACCTGTGACTGTTGTTATCTAGTGTTGAATAGAAGCATCAGTTAGATATGATATTAATCTATTCTTTGTTTCTAACCAACTGTAATGTGAAGAGCTTGCTGTTGGTGTGTATGCACATATATATTTATATATGAAATATGTATATATATTTATATATAACATGTATATGTATTATATATGTATTATGTATATGTATATGTATGTATGCACACATATACATAAACGTATATACACACACTTAACACGTACATACACCCAGTATATATTACATTAAGATATAAATCTGCATGCAGACATGCCTGCTTGTTCTACACCCTTTTTGCTCTTTTGCACTTGAATGTATGTAATTTTTTTCATCAGTTTTGACAAATGATTCATAGTACTTTTGATTTTTCTACTTGCTCAAGTACAACTGTTTTTGTATTTTTTGTGAAGTTAACGCTCAACTTCGAAAATGATTCATAGTACTTTTGATTTTTCTACTTGCTCAAGTAAAAGACTTTGAATCGAAACCATGTTCAATCTAACTTTAAAAACCAAATCTTTAACATCTTTATACCTTAATAATTATACATGCTATAATAACAGAAGACCCTTTTTTATGATGATTCCTCTTAAAGAACTGGCACCTGTCTTGTGAACGTAGTGCGAGATGAAAAACCTTAATAACCTGGTCCTCTCCCTTCCCCCTCCCCCCCCACAGGCGTGGCGGTGCTGGGATCAGTTCCCGCCTTGACTTCCTCGGAATGAAGCGCGGGTCGATCGCAGCTGCCAGTGATGACTCACAGAATGCGGACGACTCAGTGGACGGGGAGGAAGAAGCCACCAAGTGAGCAGTCGGTCCAGCTGGGCAGAAAGTGGCTGCCCCAGGACACACCTCTGTGTATTGATCACCCCAGAGATTGGAAAGGGACTCAAAGGACACTCATGAAAAGGGGTTGAAAGGATATTAACTTGATCCAAGATAGTGATTTATAAAATTTCAAGAGTGAATGTGATTTTTTAAATTAGTAAAAAAAAAAGAAAGAAATTCAGAAGGTGATGTGTTACGAATACGCTTCATTGTAAGTTAATGTCTGAAATGTCAAAATTGAAATAGCAGCATTGTCCTCTGAGCTGCATTTATCAACAAAAATTGCATACACAGCAGTTTCATTATAGTATGGATGGTAAACTTTCCTTTGGTTTTCTCAATGGAAATATTTATATATTAATAACACAATTTTCATCTTTCCTGAAAGGAGAAAATAAAATAAAAATTGTAATGCAAAATTAGGAAAATTTGATTATTAGATTATGTAAAAATTTCTCCTAAGGTGTGTCTCTATGTTGAACTAGTTGCCATATTATAGCCTTGCACCATGAGTGAACTGACAAATTGTATTCAACATTCCAGGAAAATAGGGCTTATCAACGTTGGCATATTTGTACTTAATAGTAAGGAGGGAAGATTAATTGGATAGGATCTATGGTTACAAAAATGAACAATAATAAAAGCACAAAGTTGCCTCTCCTAATCCCCAACAATTTTCTACCCATATAAGGAAGCTGGTACATCAGATACCATAAGATAGCATGAGGTAGGGATTAGTTGTTGGGGATGAGGACCTGGCTGATAACCTTAGGTGAATTGGTGTGGAAGGGAACAGCACAGTGGTTGCCAAGCAACACAGGGCTGTCCCACTTGATAGAGGTTGGATATACAAGTACACTCGTGGCTGAAGGGTTGGTGTGCACGGCCAGGTATGTCTTTTCCTCATGCCTGTGAGAGAGACGCACACCGACCCTACCACCTGGTGATGCCAGCAGTGCGAAAGGAGCTCAGTGGCTCAGGCAATATTTGCCAATGGACATCAAATGATATGAAGTGTGCCTCGGCACACAACTTTTTTTACTGTCATAATAGATTTTCCTAACTTTGTATCAAACTAACCGTGAATGCTTCCAATCTGCTACATTTGTATAGATTAAATAATAATGGATGAACTAACATATTACCATTAGTTAAGAGCTGCCTATATGATTATTATTATTGTTATGTAATATCAGTGAGTATCTTGTATAGTCGCCCGGCCAATTAGCAATGCAGTCTTTCTTATCCATCCTGTACTCATTTATTGCTATTTTATTTAGAACTCATTAACTCTCCTAGTATTTCTTTCTCCTTTTTATAACTGATGTTTTTGTTGCTTTTTTATTTAACTTTCTTTCTATTTAGTTGTATTTACTGGTTGTAATCTTAGGCTTATTATTTATCTTGAACCTTCCAAGTGACCTTAAAAAAAGCTTAAAAAAAGAAAAAATGAAAAAAGATTTTGACTCATTGCTCATCATCAAGTCCCAATCTCTCACTTCTTATTGTAAATCATTCCCAGTTCTGTAGGAAGAGTATATGCCTTATAGATGTAGAACAAAGCTAGGGGGAGTAATGAATAACTAATTATAAACTGAAGTAGCCGTAGAGGGTAAATACGGAAATGATATACACTTGTACAGGGTGGCCATAAGAAATGTTTCCCCTTTTTTTTTTCTTTTCTTTTTTTTCCAAGTAGCAGTAATGTCTTTTTGAAATTGTGATTTAAAAGTATGAAAGCTTCTATAAGGTGCTTTGTTTTTGATATTGCTAATGCATTTGTTAATTTGAACTTTTTTGATCAGGTATCGTATGAACTAGGAAGAATTTCAGTCGAGCCAATTTTTCTATATAAATAAAAGAGCAGGGTACACTAGCTTACCAGTGAAGTTCAGGCCAGAGAAGTTCCATGGAGACTCGTCAGTTTGGAAGCACAAGTATATTCATGATTGAGGACGATGTATCTCGAGTCTGGAAGTTGTTTAATTTTTCTGGCTTTTTATTTTATGGTTTTCAGTTGTTAGTCTTGTAATTTTTCATGTCAACGACAGACTCAAGCAGTCTTTACCAATTTTCTATTATATGAGAAATGCCATTAATAAATCTCTCATTCCAAAAGAAGTGGAGGAATTGGATACTGCTAAGAAGAAATTGTTTTCATTTTTTTCATAATTGTGTAATCACTTCGGCATACCGTAATGTCTGGGCCTTCTCACATGTGGGGACATGTACCGTCCAAACACGCAGGAAAAGCCATATGCGTGAAGCCCTGCAGTGCCACAGGGCCATGGCTGGAGTGATGCTGGTTGTTGTTCCTATTCAGGGGGAAAATGTGCCAAGTGCATTATTAGTTAAGAGTTGATCGATTTACAGGTGATGAACAACTAACAAATATATATATAAACACACGTACACAAAGACAGAACACATCCGTGGGTCTCCTGTCCCTGATCTTGTATTTCTTTTTAGGGTTTTCAAGTAGGAGGAGGTTTCCTTGCTCATGTTCACATTACGGATTATGTCAGGATGTGTTGCACAATTTGTATTTTATAAAGTTACTCTTCTGTGTATACTTGGGATGTGCTCCAGCTGACTTGCAATAAATGGCCTTGACAAACATGTGTATTTTTTTCCCTTCATTACCATCAGATATCCATTTTTTACTTGAGAAATTTGATCTGATTTCAAAGTTTGTGTCAAGATTTTGTGTAAGATTTGTTAATTTTGTGGATGTATTTGCTATTGGAACTAAACATGCATTGCAAAATTTCTATAATATTACAAAATTTGATTAAAAAATGCTGTGGATATAGATAATTTGATTTCTTAATTTATTAAAAAATTGTAAAGCTAACTCTTGATGAATATGTGGAAAATTAAGACTTTTTAAAGAATCAGAGAATTCTGGAAAAACTGGGCAACAATAAAAAAAATTATATCATGATTCAAATCAAATTAACCAGTTGGAAAAGGAAACCATTACAAAATGTAAGATATAAATAAGACGAAGTAAATAGTTATCATTTGCACTGATTTCAACCAGAAAAATGCAGCAGGAAAGAAAAAAAAAAAAAAAAAAATTAAAATAGTCAGAAAAATAATTTTTTATAATAAAAAAGGTTAACAAAGATGTGTTACTTTGCTCTTGGTAAATTCAATAGTTGGATATCCTAATTCTCTCATTAATACAAAAATTAAGGACCATAAGATGCTAAACCAATTTAAATGAATATCAAAGTATGTGCAAAAAAGTAAGGAAAGAAAAACTTCAGGTTTGATTGTGTTTATAATACTGTAGGTATATATAAATGGAAATGTGAACATACATCTAGACATAAATACATATATAGAGATAAATATAGATAAGTAA